TAAAATTTTGAAGAAATTTGGTTTTGTTATAAAAAATTTTGGGAAAATTTGGTACAAAAGATCTACAGATTAAGTGCTACTAAAAATTTAATAAAAGACTGATCAAAGAAGAAGATTGAGATATTTTTAAAAATATGTTCTGTATCAGTAGATAAGATATTGTAGTCTATACTAGTATATATGTGAATATAAAAAAGAGTAGCTTTGGTACATAAGATTGTATATTTGCAGAGAGAATTAATCAAAGTTATTTTAAAGTCATTAGGAAGAAGTTTTTTGCAAGTCTTTGCAAGATTGAGTACAATTTCATATTTGATGTAGTTGTAGGTTTTAGTTTAGTCTATTGTAGAAAATTAATATTTATAGATTTTAAAGAAGGGTTCAAACCATTTGTTAAGATCTTCTTTATGTTTTTTAAGTGAAGAGATTCTAACTACTATTATTTTATTATTATTATCTGAGTAGCTTTATTTAGTTCTTCAGATATATCTAGTTTAGGCATCTAGGTTTTTAGAGTTTTCAGGTAACTATTAATTAATTTTTTTAAATCTATTTTAGCATCTAATTCAATATCTTGCTCTTGTTTTAGATCTTTCTTTTCATTGATATTATCTGATACTTTTGGAACATTATAGTAAATATTAAAAACTTCAGATACTGTTACTTTTTTATCTCTATTTCTTTCAGGCTTTTTCTTTCAAAGAGTTAACCAAAGCAAATATTTATATATAAGAGTAAGTATACAATATTTACTTATTTATTTTTGTATTTAATCTGATTATTAAATAGTTTTTTTTTACAAAATTATTTTTCAGCAATTTTTCTGTTTTTACAAGTTCATCTATTAACTTATTTATTAGATATTTCTTCTTTATTGAATTTGTTTCTTTTTGTAGAATAATATACTTTTTGAACAATTTTGAATCTTTATAGATTATTTCTAGTATGAGTTTATTTAGTATATTCTTTTTATGTCTGAGCTTAGTTGTAAGTGAGGTTCTATATCTTACTTGTTTTTGCTAAATGTCACTATTATTTAATATATTCATTTCTCATTTTATAATTTTCTTTTTTAATCTATTGATATTTTGAGTTTATTGTTTTATCTTATAATCACTACTAAATATGATATGTTGATCCTTATCTCTCAATACTAAACAATACTAATTTACTAGACCTATAAGCAGCTTAGTTATTAGAGACATATTAAATTTGATGAGTAGTTTGGATATCTGTAAGTAAGTAGTTTCTTTGTTATATCTTAGATTTCTTCTGTACCTATTTTTTACTAATTCTATTCTCAATTACTATACTACTTTGAGTAATTAGATTAATAAAACAACTACTACTATTACACTATATTGAATAGTTAGAAATGAATAAACTATAGCTGATCCTAGTATATTAGAATACAACAGTCAGATAAGGTTTCAATATATCAAAGAAGAATTATCTAATATATCTCAGATTTAAGTAATTAGAGATTTAAGTGATTAGAGGTTTTAGTAAATTTATTATTTTGGATATTAGGAACTTATTTATTAAAGCAAAAGAGATATTGCATATCATATTAAAGAACTAATACAGCCTTTATTTATAATAAAATCTAGTATATATATGCAAAAAACTATTTTGCCAATTATGACCAAAATGTCTAATCTGATCTTTTAGCTCTTTTGAACCTATTTAACCTATCTGACTTATTAGTCCTATCAGTTCTATTAGTCCTATTAGTAGAATCAGATTAGATCACCTTAATTCAGATTATCTGAAGTTGTCTGATGATTAATTTATGAGGAGAATCTGACTAGTAAAAAGTATAAACTGGTTCTAGTACAAAACTCATCTAGAGGTTCTTAGTTATATCTAGATTCATAGTTTAACAAATCAAACAAACAAATACTATGAATCTAATAATCAACCCTAGATTAGCAGGCTAAAAGAGGTTGTAAAGGATTTGATCTAGGCTTTAGGATTACAGTGTGGATTTCTTTTAGGTAAGTGTCTTTGAGTCCTTGAGCTTTTATTCTAGGAGTTTTAGTTTTAGTCTTTTGAGTTCTTTATATTTTT